GCGATACCATAAGACGAAACAACATTAGAATAATTGGGATCCCAGAAGAAGAAGAAAGAGAGAGAGGGGCAGAAGGTATCAGCCTCAAAGTAACAGGAGAATTAAGATTTATAGAACACTAAGATCAGATCAACTATTCTAAAAGTAATATTCTCTTAGATGAGAATAGATATAGATTACCAAAATAAACTTCTCACCAGGATTTGACAATCTCAAACCCAAAATAAAATTGTCTCAGAACAAACCTAAAGAAAGCACAATCTTAGGAAAAACTGTTGTTACCTACCATGGTCCATGGCTTTTAATAAACATGGTTTATAATCTATTATGTCTTCTCAAAGTAATATGAAATCATATAATTGACCCAGCTCATAGCATTCCCCATGCATATGCCCCTTGGAATTGAAAAGGCTCATCAAGGATCACAACCTTAAACCTTCATATTAGAGCAGATTAAAGTTTAGGCATATTCAATGTGAGAAACTTGGGTGCTGTCAAGTTTCTCTAGAGGCAGTAGACTAAAAGAGTATTTATTCAGTAGTTCTTATCTAAGAGAACAGAGACAGGACTGTAGTTCAAAATTGGAATTAAATCTCTCATTTTATATGATCCATGTGTATTATAACTTAATGGAGAGACACGAGTTGTCAAAAAATGACCCATTACATGAGCTCTAGACCATTGATTCATCAAACACCACAAAGGCAAACATGTAGGTTTTATATTTTGGAGAACTTCTCAGGTGGTTCCATGCAGAAACAAGATCTTACTATTAGTTACCTCTTCTCTACATATCCAGGAAGCAATATCAATAACAACTGGTATCAACCTTAAGTGTGTACACTTGATGAGCCACATGAAATTCAGGATATGGATATCAGATATCAGACAACTCATAATAAATTAAAGGCAGTGCATATACCTGAATTTCAAGGTGGTGACTACAATCCTATTTTCTTTATGTTATAACTTGTCATAAGTAACCCCAAATAACACAAAATCATAACAACTCGAACATAATATAATAAGGATAAATATGCCTATTCCTGTATTTGGACAAAGAGAATATCACACTGTAAAGATGATATGAATGAATCACAAAACTTCTCAACATTATACCAATCTAGTTTTGTAAAAAGAAATTAAGCTTTTATCGTAAGAATCTCATCAAATAGGTCTATCAGGCATACCATTACAAAGAACCTATAATGCAATTCATGTTGATTTTGTTCATAAACCAAGTCTACTTGAAGGCCTTATTAGTAATAACTGACATTATTCACAGCATCTTCTTTCATTATTTTGATAAAAATGGAACCACATGCAGTCAGTAGATGAAAAGCAAGTATCAGGTTGCTCATCACTTTATTCCATTTCAAGTTTCATGGGATAGGCATATTACTGAATCTTACATTCTCACCCTAATTGTTGGACTCTTTCTGTTATAACAAGTTCATTAATGGCTAAACACATCCCTACACCATTACAATTTCTTAATGAGATTATAGGGGAAAATGGTCTTCTTATGTATTCAGAACCAAATGGATTTGCACATTGATTATGGAACCAATGAATCACAAAATTTATCAAGTTTCAATCAAATCAAATTCAGATTAAAAATATAAATTTTCTTGTGAGAATCACAGCAAGCAGGTAAACCTCTTACTGAGGAAAAAAAACATAATGATGCTCACTTTGTTTAAATGAGTAAACCTATTTGTCTTAAAAGTGATTTTTCAATCTTCCAATTATTTATTTGGAATTTGTCTTTCAGCAAAGGCAGCCAGTTATCTATAAATAATGGGTTGGTATATCTCTTGCCAGCAGGACTTACAAAAAGACCCAATGTGAAAATCAAGTACAAGGTTATTCATTATTTTATCCAATTCCACCTGGGCACATATATTACTGAAAGTTACATTCTTACCCTAATTATGAGGGTCCTTAAGTTATGAGAAGTTAATCAGAGATAAAAGAATAATCCAGCGCTCTTAAATACTGTACTAATATTATAGAAAAAAATTGTTGGTCTATTTGTGTATTTAAACCCTACTGAATATAGTGGATTGAACATAATTCCAATGTATCATAACATTTTCAGCATTCAATTAACTCAATTTCAGGTAAAAAGTAAAGATTTTTTTTTAAATAGGGATAGCATCAGATATGTTAATTTATCATTGAGAAAAATGACCTATAATGCTGTTCATGTTTCCGGAATTAGTAAGTCTAATTGTTATAGAAGTGAGTCTTCACTAGCCTAATAGTCTCTTTGGATTTTTCAGTTAGCAAAGGCACCACTGACTTGTAATAGATAGGATAGTGCTAGTAAGATTTACTGAAAAACTCAATGAAAGAAGAACCAAGGTCTCAGTACCAAATGTCAAAAAAGAGGAATTATAGATATTTAACAGATAAACAATCAGAATTTATAGTTCACTTAGTAATGCATAGATAGAAATGTGCAAAGAAGCTTCACACAGAGATTTTAATGAGGCCCCAAATTACAATCCTATCAAAGGGAACTAAGGAATCCAAACTTCTTGTCACATGATTGTTACCTATGCTGGGCTTCAGCATAATCCAACTGAGCTTGATTTTTGTGTTTTCACTTCTGTTCAAGACATTAACTCATTATTGACCCAAGCCATCACATTTGTATGCATACGTACAGTTAGACTTAATATGATTACCAGAGATAGCTTCCTTAAACACTAGTGCTAAAGTGGATTAAATGCAGACACTAGGGTGGTATAAACTGCCCCATGGACAACAGGGCAAAGAGTGTTCCTTGTTGGTAGTATTTCTCTAAGAGGACAAGAGTGGAACTATAGTTAAAAAGAAGAATTACATCTTTTATGTGTGTATGGCTCCTGCTTGGTCTTTCTTTTTTTAAAAGATTTTATTTATTTATTTGAGAGAGTGAGTACATGAGAGAGAGAGGGAGAGAGAGCATGTGCAGGGGGCGGGGTGAGGGGGAGGCTCAGTGGGAGAGGGAGAAGCAGGCTCCCTGCTGAGTGAGGAGCCTGATATGGGGCTTGATCCTAGGACCCTGAGATCCTGACCTGAACTGAAAGCAGATGCTTAACTGACTGAGCCACCCAGGCACTCCCTGCTTGGTCTTTAATTTCTATATGATTGATATATTTGCTACACAAAATATGACCCATAACTTAAGCTGTGGACCAATAATTAGCCACATATGTTAAGAACCAAGAATATAGGTTTATGTTGAAAATCTGAGAAGAAATTATTATCTGACAGAAACAAAAGCTTCTCATTACCATCTTTTCACTAAATATACAGAGACCCATATCAGTAACAACTGGCATCATACATAGCATATACATTCTTTTATAATAAATGTAATAAAACCACATGAAACTCAGAATATGGAAATAAGATTTCAGACCACCTGTAATTGTATTCAATTTCACAAATCAAAGGCAAACTGCACATGAATCTCAAACTATTTCCCATAATTGCCAAAAATCTTTCAGCTGTGATTAGTATCTGAATGATCCACAAACATCATAATACCATAGCAACCAAAAAATAGAATAATATAAATAAATCATTTATTTGTACATTTATAGCAAATGAATATTTTACTAAAGAGATGATTGTAATAAATTACAAAACTTTTCATCTCTAAAACACAGTTAGAATTTAAAAGTAAGTCTTTAATGAGGATCCCATTAAGCAAATCAGTCACTCATTGGGAAGAATAGGTATTATTTACTCATTTTGCGTGAATGAGTGGATTTAATTATTTTAAAGGACAGACCACTAGTCAAATGGCCTATTTGCAATTTTTTAATCACCAAAGGTAGAACTTACATTTTTTCCATGGAATGGCACATCTTTTGCTGGTTGGATATTCTGAAGCCCATGCTGAGGAAAAAATAAACCAAGATATCAACTCTAACAATGTATAAATATTAAGAATAAAGACACTAAAATAAAAAATTGTTTTAAAAACTTATCTTAGAAACAGATAAAGATGGATAAAACAGGATTCCCCAAAAGGGTTTCTTTCTACAAATTCCTGAATAGAATACCCCAGAAAAATTTAATGACTGCTTACACCTTGTTGCAAGGATTGTCACTTCTTTTGGGCCTTAGCATAATACTACTGAACATAATTTTTACATCATTACATCTCCTCAAGACACTTTTCACATACACATCCACTTTTGTCTTGTAAACACCAGAATGGCATCCTTAAACTGTAATTCAAAAGGGACAGGAGACCACTTAGATTCACTATACTATACTTGGATGGTAGCACTTGTCTCAGTGTAACATGCCAAAGAGTGCTCTTCCTCAATAGTCCTTATCTAGGAAGATAGAAGTAAGATAGTAGTTCAAAATCAGAAATATGTGTGTGTTTGGCTTATACATACTATTTATTAGTGGAGAGATGGTTTATACCACCCCAAAGACACATTACTAAGGCTCTAAATAATTGATTCATCAACATTAAGACAAAGCATACAGTTTTCTTGACATTGGATACCCTGTAATATCACATGTCATACCATAGAGTAAACATGAGTAAAAATGTTCCATTATTTAAATAAAATTTCAGTAAACAATAAACATTTTTGAAGAAAATGTCATCAAATAGGTCATTAACTCACTGAGAAGAACCCATAATAGGGTTCATGATGACTGAATTGGTGAACTTAGTCATTTCAAAGTCCATATCAGGAACAACTGTCATCATTTATAGCATACATTTTTATTTTTCTGAAAACAATGGGGTCACATGATACCCATAAGATAAAGTTTAGTCATCAAATTATCCAATTTAAGTTTTATAGGTATCAATTTGGTCATCAAATTATTCAATTTAAGTTTAATAGGCAAAGCACATTACTGAATCTCACAATCTCCTCTATTAGCACAGTACTGCAGTTATGGGAAAGTTTATGAGAAACCAAAGCAACATTAGAATCCCATAATAATAGAGCAAATTTTTCTCTAGACATTTATTTACACCTAAATGAATATTGCATTTTGGACTAGGTAACAGAAAATCAAACAATTGTTCAACATTCAATTATCTGAAGCTCATATAAAAATTACATATTTTGTTAAGAGGATCATATCAAGAAGAAAAAAAACATATTGATATTCAGTTTTCCTGAGTGAATAAAACTGCCTTAGGTGTAAATCTTCACTAGTTCAATGTTTATATGAAATATGTATGTCAAAAGAAGCCACTGATCTCTTATAATGGAATGTTATATTTCTTGGAATCAAGTCTTACTGAAACAAAAATGAGATAAAAAGAGCTAAGAAATGAAATCTGAAAATGCCATAGTTTTAGAAAATGCAAATATCTGAAACAAAGCTTAAGGAATAAGAGATGTTTGTTTATTTATAGGTACATAGATAATGTTGGGCAAACAAGTTATTCATGAAATTTTATTATATCAAATTCAAGATAAAATTCTCCTAGAAGGGAAATAAAGAGTTACTATTATCTGTCCCAGAATTGTCATTGAATTCTAGCCTGTTTAATTCTATTGAGCATAACTTTTAAGTTATTTCTCTTCGAGACAATTTAAGGTCCCATCATTGTCAAAAGCCATGACACTTCCCATGCATACACAAACTTGGACCTGATTACCTTACCAGCAAGTCTTAAAACCCTGGTGCTAAAATGAATTGGAGTTAGCGTGTACTTATTACATGATCCCTGGGTGATATCAATTGCTCCAGTCACAACATGCCACAGAATGTTTTTCCATATCATTATCTAAGAGGACAAAAACCAGAACTGTTATTAAAGGGAGAACTACCTCTCTCTGGTGCATATGGGTTGTGCATGTTTTTCATTAAATGAGAAAAATGTTAGTACTAAAAAAAAAACCACCTCATTTCAGAGTTTAGTTCATTGATTAACAAAAATTAATGAGTATGAAACTTACAGGTCACTTGACTTTGGAGAAGCAACCCAGTGTCTTCATGTAGAGTCAAGAGAATTTCATTGATCATCCCTTGTCTATATAGTCAAGAAAGTCATAACACTAACATCTGACATGGTTTATTGTATATGAATGCTCATAAAGCACTGACACTCTTAAAACCACATAAATCTCAGGATTTGGATATCAGGTATTAGGGCACATGGAATTGAATGTATTGTATTCATTAGCTCAGGAAACCCATATACAGGTTTCTTTATCAATGGATTCCATCTTAACATATATGGGCAAAGCAAATTACCACATCTTACATTATTTTTTCCATTGTCAGAGACCTTTAGTGATGATATTTATATCAGTAACCCCAAAGCAGCCTAACATCATTAGAAACTTATAGCATCAATCATGAAAATCAGTCTATTTGTTTATATATTCAAATATATATCTCACACTGGACTGAATACCAAAGAATGAAAAAATCCCTCATTGTTAAAAACACTAAGTTCAGGTAAAAATTAAAGATATTTTCTTGGGATCAAATCAAGTAGTTCAGTCATAGAGTAGGAAAACATATGGATATTTAAGTTACTCAAATGAGTAAATCTAACTGCCTTAGAGTGAAACTTTATAAGCCTGAAAGTCTACTTGGAAGGTATTTATGACCAAGACTAACACATCTCATCAATTTAATGATGGATATCTTGTGAAACATCTTACCAAAAGAAACAATAAGAGAAAAAGAGTTAAGGTGAGCCCCAAATGTGTCAAATTATTAGAGCTTATCGACCATTGAAAAAAATGAAGAGGATGAGTTATTGTGTAATTTGAAGAGAATAGATAGGTTTAGAAATTATAAGTTTCCTTTAAGTGATTTGCTGATAAATAAAAAATACAATACCTGTAGAAGAAAAACAAGTATCCTTAAAATTCTGTCTCAGGATTGTAAACCTAGAGTGAGCCTCAGTGTAATGCCATTGAACATGACTTTTAGGTAAACAAATCTTTTCAATACAACATGAGGTTTCAAAATTGATGCAGCACAGGATTCCCCAAGCATATGTATACTTGAACCTAACTATGCTTACCAAAGATGGATCCAGGAAACTATGAAGCCAAGGTGATTAGGAGTTTCATTGTATTGCATGTTGGACTCCTGGATGTTACAGATTGCCCCAGCGACAGTGAGACCAACAGGGTTCTTCCTCTGGAGTCATAATCTAGGTAGACAGGAATAACAATGCTGTCAAAACAAAGCACTTCATCTCTCATGTGCATGGGGCTCATGCATGCTTCTCTATGATGGACCAATATAATCATTTCTGCAAAAATGACCCATTACATAGGCTATTTGACATTAATTCACCAAACAAAAGTTTGACAAAGCATATAAGTTTCTTGACTTTGGAAAACTAATTAGGTGATGTCATGTTGAAATAAGAGCATCTCATTGATCATTTTTGGCATATTCGATCAAGGAGCCATATCAGCAACACTTGACATGGTCCATTGCATTTCAACTTGGATAAAATGAAACAACAGGGATGCCTAGGTGACTCAGCTGGTTAAGGGTTGGCCTTTAGCTCAGGCCATGATCCCAGTGTCCTGGGATTGAGTCCCACATTGGGCTCCTTGCTCAGTCAGGAGGCTGCTTCTCCCTCTGCCTGCTGCTCACCCCTGCTTGTGCTCTCTCTCTCTGACAAATAAATAAATAAAATCTTAAAAAAATGAAACAATAAATCCATATGAAACTTATTTTTAGAAAACAAGAAAGCAATAACCACAATTGTGTTTTTCTTTAATCTGTCAACCAGTTTATGGGAATTTTCAGCTGTGGCTGATAAACCATTGTTTTTATGCTAACAGTCCTCATCCATGTCCCACCATTACCACAAAAACATAATAATTGGGATGAATATGTCTACTCCTATACTCATGTATAAGATTATGAATGTTGGAGATAATACCAAGGCTCAGAAAATTTATTAAACCCATGACTAGCAATGAAATTAAATCAGTAGTAAAAAATCTCCCAAGAACAAGAGTATAGGGCTGGATGGCTTCCCAGAGGAACTCTACCAAACTTTAAAGAATTAATACCTATTCTTCTGACATAGAAATGGAAGGAAAACTTCCAAACTCATTCTATGAGGCCAGAATTACCTTGATTCCAAAACTGAGACCCCACAAAAAAAGAGAATTATAGAACAATATCTGATGAACATGGATGCAAAAAATCTCAACACGATACCAGCAAATCAAACCCAACAGTACATTAAACAAATTACTCACCATGGCAGCTGGGTGGCTCAGTTGGTTAAGCATCTGATTCTTGGTTTTGGCTCAGGTCATGATCTCAGAGTCATGCGATCAAGCCCCATGCTGGGCTCTGCACTCACCATGGAGTCTGCTTGGGATTCTTTCGCCCTTCCTTTTCCTCTCCCTCCCCTCTGCTCGCCCCCCGCTCTCTCTCTCTCTCAAAATAAATAAATGAATAAAATCTTTAAAAAAATTATTCACCACGATTAAATGGGATTTATTCCTGGGTTCTAGGGTGGTTCAATATTTGCAAATCAGTCAATGTGAAACATCACATTCAAAAAGAAAGGAAAAGAGCCCTATGATCCTCTCAATAAATGCAGAAACAACATTTGACAAAATACAGCATCCATTCTTGTAAAAACCCTCAACAAAGTAGGAATCCTGGACATACCTCAACATCATAAAGGCCATAAATGGAAGACCCACAACTAATATAATTTCAATGGGGAAAAACAGAGCTTTTCCTCTATGGTCAGGAGCAAGATGGATGTTCACTTTCACCATTGTTATGTAACATAGTACTGGAAATCATAGCCTCAGCAATCAGACAACAAAAAGAAATAAAAGGCATTCAAATTGGCAAAGAAGAAGTAAAAGATTCAGTATTTGCAGATGACATGATACTTTATATAGAAAACCTGAAAGCTAAAAACCTACTAGAACTGATACATGAATTTAGTAAAGTCAAAGGATGCAAAATCAATGTACAGAAATCTGTTGCATTTCTATACACCAATAATGAAACAGCAGGAAAAGAAACCAAGGAATTGATCCCATTTGCAATTGCACCAAAAACAAACAATAAGATACCTAGGAATAAACCAAGGAAGTAAAAGATATGTACCCTGAAAACTATAGACACTTCTGAAAGAAACTGAGGAAGACACAAAGAAATGGAAAAAAAAAAATTCCATGCTCATGGATTGGAAGAACAAATATGAAAAAGATGGAAAAAAGGTGGTCTCTTCAACAAATGGTGTTGGGAAAATCGGACAGCAACATGCAAAAGAATGAAACCTGGCCACTTTCTTACACCATACACAAAAATAAATTCAATTTGTGTGAAAGACCTAGATGTGAGGCAGGAAAGCATTAAAATTCTAGAGAACACAGGCACTAACCCCTTTGACATTGGCTGTAGCAACTTCTTACTAGATAGGTCGCTTTTTTGTAGTTTCAAATTTTTATTTAAATTCTAGTTAGTTAATACATTAATAAAAGAAAGAACAAGAACCATATGATCCTCTCAATAGATGCAGAAAAAGCATTCAACAAAATACAACATCATTTTTGAGTAAAACTTCAAATTGTAGGGATAGGTGCACACCTTAATATCATAAATGCCATCTATGAAAAACCCACAGTGAATATCATACTCAATGGGGAAAAACTGAGAGGTTTTCCACTAAGGTCAGGAATACGGCAGGGATGTCCACTATCACCACTGCTGTTCAACATAGTACTAGAAGTCCTAGCCTCAGCAATCAGACAACAAAAAGAAATAAAAGGCATCTGAATTGGCAAAGAAGAAGTGAAACTCTCACTTTTTGCAGATGATATAATACTTTATGTGGAAAACCCAAAAGACTCCACCCCAAAACT